CGTTGTAATACGTAAATTTTATTTTTTATTGTAAATTCAAACTTTTTTTTGCCAAATACGCACATCTTGAGCACAGCAGAAGGGTTACCGTCCGGAGCCTCCAAGGCACCTCCCGGGGTCTGGGGAGCCTTCAGTCGCGTCTGCCGGCCCCGAACCACCCCAGCGCGGGAACTTCGAGGGGCGCCCGGAGACCGCCGCGGCGTCACGTGGGGAGGCCGCACGGGTTCAGGCGCCTGGGACTCGGGTCCCCCGGGAGCGGCCGCCGCGGGGCCGCGTCCCCAGAGCCCCACTTCTCAGGCCCTGCAGGGAGGGGGCGCCGCCCGCCTCACAGGTGTCCGCGTGGCGGCTCCGGGGCCGCCGCCGCCGCCGGCGGGCGGGAGGGGTGGGCGCCGCCCGAGCGCGGGGCCGGGGGCCCGAGGGGGCGGCTCCCGCGAGGTGGTTCTCGGGCTCCGCCTCGGCGCTCAGGTTTCCTCCCCGCCCGCCCCCCGGCTGCGGCGCCGCCTCCCCGCTCCCCTCCCCGTGGCTGGGCCCGCTCTGCGGCCTCTGCCCGCCTCGCCCCCGCCCGGGCCTCCTCCCGCTTTCTCTCTCCGCTTCCCCTCGAGCCTCCGGAGGAGCCCGCAACCGCGGGGCGCCGGGAAGATGGCGGCGGCAGCGGGCGGCGGCGGCGAGGGGGGCGCGGGCCGGGGCGGCGCGGCAGGGCCGGAGTCGGGGCGACGCGGGCCGTGCCCCTCCGCCGAGGCGCGCGAGGACGCCGGGGATCTCGCGCCCGCCGCGCTGCATCCCGAGGAGGTCGCCGCGCGGCTGCAGCGGATGCGCCGGGAGCTCAGCAATCGCAGGAAAATCCTAGTGAAAAACCTGCCCCAGGACAGCAACTGCCAGGTACGGGGACCGGACTGCGAGGCGGCGCGTCCCGGGGGCAACGGGGCAGCGCCCCGGAAAGGAGCTGCCCCCGAGGCGGTGGGACTGCCCGGAGCCGAGGGGAGGAGGTGTGGGTGCAGAGTTAGGTGAATTTGCAAAGCCCCCGGGGTTTCTGAGCCTGCGGTCACCCTGCGAGGATGGCAGATTAGGAAACTGAGGCTCTGAGAGCGGAGCGGTTTGCCCAAGGTCACGGGAATCGGGGGCGGCTGGCTCTAAGCCCGGCCGCTCTTTCTCTCCCCTGTGGCTCGAGGGTGTGTTTGCGGGAAGGAGTCGGGGAGTCGGGGAGTCGCAGGGGAAGGAGACGGAGGTGAGCTGTGGCGCGCAGTTTGGCCGGGGGCCAGGTCTTCGCGAGCATCCTGAGCGGCAACGGGTCCGGCCTGGGGTCCTCCGGGCTTCAGTGCGCCATGGGGGGCGGGGTCACGGGAGAGCTGGGAGTGAGTTTCGCTGTTTCTGAAGCACTTGATGAAGTTTGTGTGGTACAACTCTGTCCCTCAGTTTGCCAAGGCGCCGGATACATTACCACCGAGCTTTGGGGAGCCCTGCGGCCACCTTCAGCCATGCCAAGCCCTGGAGGATTTGTTACTCCAGTAACTCTGAGGAGGTTTAAAGATCGGCTACTTTGTGTCTTTGATCCAGATTAACTGTTGGATTAAGATTAGAGGCTCTGCATGTATTTAACTTTTTTTTTCTTTGATTGCCAAAGTTACATGCTCATTGTAGGAAAGCGAAAAAATAGAAGAGCAAAAGGGGGAAGTAGATCATTTTTTATTCTTCAGGGTTTCTTTATTGTCTAGATATTCATTTATTTTTATTTAGGTGTTCATTCTAAATTTAGGACTATTTCATGTGTATTTCACATGTCTTGAATTTATGTATTTTGCATTGATGTCTGGGCTGTTCTGGACAGTTGCAGGTAGTTTGGGCCGGCCATTCATGTAGTTTCCCCTGAAATAGTATGTATGGAATTGCAAGTGGGCTAGCTATTGATAATTGCAGAGAAGTTCTCCCATAAAACCCATAATGAGACCAGCACCTCATTACTATGTAATGAGACCTTACACCGTCACTCACAATAAATGTGAGCACATAACCTTGTAAAACATATGCTTGAGGGAACATTTTGTTTCAAAAAGCAATCTAAAAAAACTCTTTCCATCATTGTTCTTTCCATCATTGTCCACTTCCCATCTGTCAGATAATGTTTTGTGATGCTACCCATAAGGATACTTGCAATGAACTAGTTTTGTAGAAGCAGTTTTCCCCTACCCAATGCATATGGACAGCCTAGAAGAGGCAGGTGGATAAAAAAAAAAAAAAAGAAAGAAAGAAAAAATAGCATCTCCGTTTGTAGATAATCTTGGACAAGAGTCTTGATTTCCTTTGTATAATGTCAACTGTCTTTGTCATCACAATTTCTTACAATAATTCTAAAAATATTTAGAACCAAAATTTTTCAGACAATTCTGTCTGTTCTTGCTTTGCTGTCGGTATCTTTCTCATTTACCTTCTCAGGAGACATGAAAAAACATACCAGCAGAGCTAATAAAAGGAACAGTTTTAATTACCTGGTGTTACTGATGGAGAGAGATTTTATGAGAATTACCCATAATGAAAATTTATAATTTGTATTTCTGAGATTCTTTTTTTCTGTTATGAATTTATGTTTAGCCAAAAGCTTAGTTTTTCTTTAAGGTATCAAGCATAAACTATCAAATAAAATTGGTATAAGATCTATATGTCTAGATGAGTCTTTTGCTGCCAAGTGAAGTGTCTTAAATTTTTATGTTATTCTTATGCCATGTTTTTTGAGAGCTGAAGAGTTTCATCTAAAAGCTTTTTTTTAGGACCTAAAAGACTAGTTTCTAAACGTGTCCTACCATTTATTTTTTTCGGTAATGATTTCTACAATGTTTTTAATATTTCTGATACATAGTTTTAAAATCTAAACAGATCAATCTTTGATTACAGATAACATTTGTTTGAGTAGTGTTTTGTTTTTTCTATCATTTTCCATACTTGCATCTTTGCTAGTTTTTGGATTACGATCATAGCTGGCAGTGGTCTCTGTTAAACAAATAAGTAGAATAGACTAATGTATGCTGTTTGAAAAGCAGTTAAAAGACTTTAAATAATTTAGATTGAAAATTGCTAGTTTTATTTGTTCCATAAGGTTAACATTTACTTCATCTACTTTTTCTCAAGTTATAATATTTTCAAGAATATATTGTGGAAGGATCTTTTGTATTTTCTTTTCTTTCCCTTAACAATTTTAATGTCTGTTGTTAATGGCTGCATTTTACTGGCATCTTAATGAAAGTTTAAGTTTTATTTTGTGCCTTTTAGCAGGTATCATCTGGCTAAACTATGTATTTATTCCTTTTGAAATGTCAAACAATGGTTTTTAAAAAATTTACTTTTTGTTTAGTAATTATGTAATCAGATATTTTAAATATTCTCATTCTTTTTTTCTGGAAGAGTCTGTTTATTCCTTCACTTACGCTAGAATATCACATTAAAGACCAAATCCATTCCTAACTAGTTCTCAAACTGTGTAATTATGTCTCTAGAAAAGCTATGTTGGTAACTAGAGTGCAGTAATTTTTCTTAACATTTTGAAAACATGGTTAGTTCCTTTATTAACTATAGTTTTCATAAATCTTACTCAAATTTTGTTTAATTTTTGGTAAAACAGATTTACTATAGCATTTCACTACTTTGTTCTTCCTGTAATTGGAAGGCACACTGAAAGTATTATTTTTAAGTGGAATCTTTTAAAGGTGCATATACCAAACACCTTACAGAAATACTAGCTTTAAAAAAGAATGAACAACTTTACTTCAAGTTTTCAATAGCTGTCTCACTGAATAGTTACTGTGTGGTTAGTCAGGCAATGTCTGGCCAGCCTCCTATGTGTCCTCAAAACCCTCTTAGCCCTCTGGGGTTTCATAGCTCCAACTCGGGTTCATGTCCTTTTCATCTCTTGAACAAGATTGTTACAACTTTTCAGTTTGTCACCTATCTGCATTACTGTCCTTTTATGTTTTAGCCCATTCTGCTATTGCTTACGACTTCCCTGGAGAGAGCTTCCCAAAGGACAAATCTGATGTGATCACATTACTCTCCTACTTACAAAAAAAAATTTAGTGCCACATTCCCAACACCACCTCTCAAACTTTTTCTCAAATTGTCCTTCATCTTGCTTCTTTTCCTCAAACTGTAAGGAATAGCGAGCCTGAATTAGCTTCCTGAAAGAGTGAAATTGCTTTGGAGCTCATGTTCTGTCTGAAAAATTCATTAACTTTATGTTCTAGTAAAATTGGATTTAATATAAAAACAGTGACTTAAACTTGTTTAACTCCACTCCTGTTTTTTTTTGCCCCATGAATTTGACACTTAATGGAAGATGTGCCATATTTATCCTATGATTTTTCATGCACCTTTTATTGTCATGGAATACTCAGACCTCATTTTGAAAAGCATGACATGATAGGATGGAAATCTAAAAGATTCTAGGCTTTTTGTGTCTTGGCTTCTGGCTACACTTTCCAGTCTCATTTCTTATGAGTCCTACATTGGGTAATACGCTAGTTTTATCAAGCTACCTAAATTCTGAAGTACTTCATGCCACTGTGATTTAGATATTTATGGTTATGTCTTTGAATATTCGTGTTTAGGAATGTAATTACAGTGATTAACTTATGAATAATATTTATAATAATTATAATTACAGTGAATAGTAACAATGTTGTGAACACTTGTTCTTATTCAGTATAGCCATTGTGTGTGTATGTGTCTGAAAAGTCTTTTGCAACTCTGAATTTAGAATTTTGATTAGTTAAGGTAATGACTTAATTAATAGTGGTTGTATATATTTTATGGTTAGCCTGATTCTGTTTCAGTAGCATTGTTATTGGGGTTTCAAAATGGAGGAAACAGTGGCATTCATTTCCTGTACTGTTGGAGTTCACTCATTTTTTCTTACATGTTTGTATGTGTACATGGGCTTTGTTTTTGTTTTTATTTTAAAATCAGAAAGATTTTATTTTGTAATTAGAAGGAAAATATGAGTGTTGCAGGGCTTACAGCCAAAGATCAGTAACAGAAGAAACATTCTATTGTTTCACATTGGTTATTATTAACTTGCCTTTCAAAGTACTCTATTATAGTAGTTAATTGAGAAGCTTGATGGTTAATTCACAGAAGCCCATTTGAAAGCATGGTATTGTCAACTAGGCACTTTTTAGAATAACAAACCACCAAATGTAGGAAACTCTGGTTAAGTTTCTTTTTGAAAGTTACTTATTGCCATTTTTCTTTCATATTCATCAAAAACCAATAGAATTCTCTTTGTGTTCTTTAACCGTGGGATGTAAAAATATATATTATTTTCTTTAACACTATATTCGGTAATCATTGCCTTTTTAAAAAGTAGTGCTATTATTCACCACTTTTTCCCAACAATACTGGGATGTTTTTGCATTTTGAAAGTATTCTTTTCCTTATTGAGAATGCCATTTTGCTTACTTTCAGAAGTTACTTTTCTTGGTATACTTTATACCACTTACAAGTTATGTGTTACATTTTCTTAACTAACATAGTAAGAATTATCAGTTCTACTTTTCTGTGTACTTTATTATTGGATTCCCAGTGTAACAAGGACACTGAAGGCTGCTAAAGAAATATACTTCTAGATTTCTGGGACACCACTGGCTCGGTAGGTTTCTAGTCTTGGCTGAAATTCTTGAAAAGTTTCAGCAATGCTTGTTCTCTCCTCTGAAAACACATTTGAGAAGAGGAGTACTTTGTGGTTAGCATCACAATGCTGGGTGTTAACAAGCAGTCCAAAGAAGTTTCAGGTGATTTATAGAGCATTTCCTAATTGAGTCAGTTAAGCTTATAAATTATTTTTTGGATATACAACATGTTTTCCCATACAAAGAGTATGGTAGATGGTATATAGT